CTTTCGTTAAAAAATACAGCAAAAAATTATTTTATTAGATTTTAGGATATAAATCTTTTAGAAATATGTCTACAACAAGATGAAATAAAATCACTGCAATAAATACTGATGCATATCATTAGTCGAATTAAGCAAACAGTTAATTTTAAACCTGCTCTCACTGAACACATATTATTTCAGCATTTACAAGAATCATTGCTAAATAGAAAGAAGTTTGAATGACCGATTCTATCTTCTCATACTTAAAGTGTTGAGAGAGCTGTGAAAATGACATCTGAAGCTTGCATTGACGAATCCAGTGAGGGGGGCGGTATTTGGGGGTATGCATCCCGCTGACCAGAATTTCTCAATTTAAAGTTTTGTTTTTAATTGAAGCCCTTTTTTCAATTTAAGTAGTTTTTTTTTTTTTTTTTTAATTTTGTTTTGGTATCAACATCACCCCCCCCTCACCAAAAATTTCAATTTTCACCAAGAGTTTGCACCCATTTCGAAATGTCCAACGTCAAAATCGAAATCAATATATTTTTCACAAAAATAGATATCGTTTACAATATAGTATAAATATTACAACAATAGTTTTGTGAAAGGATATATTGCAAATAGTACAAAATTAATTCAAAGCAGAGACCTTATAAAACAAAACAAAACAAAAAGACCTGGTAAAAAAAAAACAAAAAAAAAACTACTGCTACTACTACTATTAATAATAATAACAGACAAAAACAACAACCAAGGAACAAAAATAGTATGAATAATGGTAGAAGCAAATGAAGTATTATCGAGTAAAGAGAAAAATTATTGGATTAGAGTTAAAGATAATAGAATTAAAAAAAAAACAAACTAATACTAACTAAATATTTAATAAAAATACCAATAAATATAATAATAAATACTAAATATATAAATGTTAATAAAATCTAGTATAAAGATTGAATATGATAACTATGGTAATAGTACTCTTTTATTCAATGAATAGTTGTCAAGAAAACTTTCTATAATTTTACTTAAAAAAAACAGGTCTTGAATTTATGGAGTAGGGGTGATTGTACCACTCAGTGGTGGATTGACTTCTTTGAGCCCAGGTATTTTTTTGTTTTTGGAGGCCTTTTTATGGGCCAGAGCCTAAAAATGACTAAAATTTTTGGGGACCCCTAAATTTGTAGGGCCCGGGGCTATAGCCCCCTAGCCCCCCTTGATCCGGCACTGGTTCCACTCATTGGTGCATTGATGCTTTATAGAGTTTTTACCATATATTATTCTTAGACTATGTTCAACAAATAAATATTTGCATAATGAGGATCTAAGGAGTGTTGGAACTGGTTTGGTAGATGAAAGGAGTGAAAGTAATTGGTCTACCATGTAAGTAATCCCATACAAAGGTACAATTCATTAAACTTGTAATACAACATTAAACTTGTAATACAATTACAAGTTTAATGTTGTCGTGAAGTTTTAAAACCTGTGATAATTTATATAACAAAGAGACATTGTTGAAACGGTCATTCTGAAAGTGGATGATTTTAATGGCTTTATTTTGTAGTGAGGAAATATTTTTTAAGGATTGCTTGTTAGTTTGTCCCCAGATCATGCAAGCATATTTGAGATCCAAATATGGCGTGGTAAATACTGGTTACAGTTTCTAAGTTGACAAAGCGCCTTACTTTGGCCAACATACCGATAGATCGACTCAATTTTGTTTGTAAATAAGTGTGGTGATATTTAAAAGAAAGATTTTTATCCAGCATTATTCCAAGATGGAAAAAAAAAGTGGAAAATCGACCTGCCTATCTCAATAAGTTTCTACCATCTCGCGGGTACTTTAAAAACATAAGTAAATTCCATTACTTTATATACATAGGAAAAATTTGCGTCGCAACGTGTATAAATTGCCAAAAAAGTGGTTAATAAAGATAAATGTAGAAACGTTGTAATGTTACAAAAAAACAAACAAAAAAGAAACAAAAAACAAAAAAAAAACATAAAAAAAACAAAAAACAAAAAAGAAAAATAGAATAATATAATAATAAAAAATGAATAAATGAAATGTAATATAAATATTTTTTTACTATAATAAAACAAATGGTAAATAAGACCGAATAACAATGCAGTTATTAAATACTATGTTCAATAGTGTATTGTTTGTAATAAAAATAATAGCAATAGTAATAATGATAACAATAATATTATATATATATATATATATATATATATATATATATATATATATATATATATATATATATATATATATATATATATATATATATATATATATATATATATGTATGTATGTATATGTATATAAATTTAATAATATTTATGTTTATATAGTAGATATAATTCTCTTAACCTAGCATAGGCGCACTTTACTCTTGCTCTTGATGCCTTTTTTGAGCCACCATCTGATCCAATTGTATCTCCAAATAATAAAGCTCTCTAAGAGGTAAATAATAAACAAAAGAGGTCCAAGTACACAACCTTGTGGAACCCTTATATCACAAACTAGTTCGCCAAATTTTTCACCTTTTATTTTGACTACTTGAGTTCTCATTAAAAGATAGTCTGCAATCCAATTGAGAACTGTACCTTTAACTTTTTAACTTTTGTATAAAAATCTTTCCATTAACTGTTTCAAATGCCCTTGTAAGATCTAGCATTACTGTTATAACAAATTTATTGTTATTCAAAGATATTCTCCATCTAGAAAGTAGTAGTTGAATAGCTGGTTCAGTTGATCTGTATTTTCTGAAACCAAATTGATTATTATAAAAAATATTATTTTCAAAATAACTTGATAACTGCTTGTGAACTTCTAATATTTTTTCAGAAGTAGGAAGCATATTAATTGGTCTTAAGTATTGTGGTAAGTTCTGGTGACATTAACTTTGGAATTGGAATGATTGTTGACTTTTTCCATTTAGAAGGAACTTTCCCAGTTTTTAACAATAAATTAATAATTTTTAATAGAATACTTGAAAATGATGAGTATATTTCTTTGAATATTATAACATTTAAGCCCTCACATATTGAATTCTTGTTTTGTAATAGATTTACTATATCATTCAAGTCTTGCATAATTTATCTCATGCTTTTTATCAAAGACACTTGCCATCTACTTTACACGGTAGTCAAGGTTGCTGTATACATAGTTATCACTAACTAACGATTTATTTCTGACCAGTGCCTTACTTATGGTCAACACTGTACCATCTTGTCTAATCTAACATACCTATATGACAGCTGGTTGAGCATGTTTTTACAACTAGAAGCCCTTCCATGTGTTAACCTGTTTTGCATAGTTTAGGATATGAAATCTTTGCTTTGTGATACCATCACTAAGTAGATAACACTCCAAGGTTAACAAAATCCTTCTACCCTTACCATAATAAAGTAGGGTTTTGTTTTATCTTTTAGGTTAGTTTCTTTTACCTTGATAAAAAACTCCACCTTTCTGTAAATATTTTTGTGATAGGATCAGTTTTATGTCATAATTAGGATAAAGTTTAATGTCATAGTCATAACAAACCTGCATAAAAGTATAAATAAATAGAACAATAAAGTTTTAAAACTTTATTCAATTTACTGCCCCAAAGTTCCAGAGTGATTCGTTGCAGTCAGGAAGGTATTAAATTTTTTTTTCTTTAAATTTTTTTAATTTGCAACTCTTTCTAAGCCCCAAATTCTGAAACACAAAACTTTTAAAACACTGCTACAATCTATAAGGTTTTTTAAATGCCTACTTTAATTCTGATGCTTTTTTATTTACAAATTTATTTTACAAAACTGTTTCATTGAAAAATTGTTAGTAAAATAAATGTTTTTGACTCTTATTTTATATAGTATCTATTTTATTATTGAATTTATATTTCTAGAATATTATTTTAGCAGTTAGCTTTTTTTTTTTTTTTTAAAAAAAAAAAAAAAAAAAAGTCATTAAAAACATTGTTGGCCAAACATTATGGCACCAATCGGGAATATTTATATACTACTTTGTTATAGGCTTTGTTAGTTTAGAAAATACTTATAGAAAAGTCCAGAAACTTACAAATATTCCTATTACAACAGTAGGCATTGTAATAAAATACAAACAAAATAAAACATTTGAAAATCATACTAAATAAGGATGAAAACAACTTCAAGAGATAATAAAGAAATTTAAAGAAAGATTTAAAAAAATTTGATTTGAAACTGCAAAAAAATCAGCAAATCATCTGTAAAACTTAACAGTAAACATGATTTCACTAACATCAATTAGAATCCATAAAGCAGTTTAGTGGACGTATAGCTGTATATATATAATGAACATTAAAAACATTTTAAACAAAAAATCATATGAAAAGAAGAAGGATTTTTGCAAAAAATTATTATATAATGTCAGTATGATTTTGGAGGAAAGTTCTTTGGTGTAATAGAGCATTATGGACCTTGTTATATAACAAAATAGGTAATGAATCATTTACGAAATAGAAGATTTAAAGGAAGTTGTTGTTAAATTATTTCCTAACATTAACAAAAACCAAGTCTATTATCTAGTAAAATCAATGCTAAAAAGCTTGCTTGGTGTAATTAAATCAAATGTAAGGGCTAACTAAATAATAAAGTATAAGTTTCTTTTAAATTCTTAGTTAAGTTATTGAAAAACATAGATGAAAATTTCAGAATAATTTTAAAGGGTTTACCAAATGAAAAATCAAAGAAAAAACGTTCTTTGAACTTAAAACAGAATGATACAATATTTTATTCAAATATGTTATATATATATATATATATATATATATATATATATATATATATATATATATATATATATATATATATATGTATGTATATCTATATATATATATAAATATATATATATATATATATATATATATATATATATATATATAAAATATATATATATATATATATATATATATATATATATATATATATATATATATATATATATATATATATATATATATATAAATTCACACACATATATATATATTTTTTTTCTACACAGTGGGTAAATATATTAGCATTCAATACTGGTGCTGCTTATATACTTAATGACCAATGGGTTAAAATGGCAACTAATATAAATGAAGATACTTCCGAAGATGAAGAGATTTATGACAAAGAAATTTTTAGTAAAACATTATCTCAGTACAGGAATTTTTCAAATGGTATGTTTTTTGAACTTTTTTTTTTTTAAATTTTTATTGTTTTAATAAACTTTTTCATAAGCAATGCATATACACAAAAATATATATAAATTTTACTATAAATAATAATAGATAGTAAAGCAGCAAATTGAACCGTGTAAGCTGTGTTATTAAATCAAACATTTGATTTATAGTTATTTCAAGACATCAGACTTTGTTTTATGAGCAAACAACCTATTTCTTCAGAATATCCAACATAAAGTCTCAAAGTTTGCTGATTTTTACACCAAAGTTTATTTATTAATAATCCCCAAAAATTTATTTAATTCTAACAATATCCAAAGATGTTAATATTTCAACTTTGCCTTAAATCAGAAAAAATCCCTCAGTTTTAAAAAAATGATTTTAGTCTTATTTTTATTCTGTTGGCAAAGGAAAGCTGAATATGTTCTTTTACATATTTTGGGATAAGTAATCCAAAAAAAAAAAAAAACTTAAAAAGTTTATAAATTAGCCAAATTCATTTTAGAGGCCTGGTCTAGAAATTAATTCGATGTTGGGAAAAAAGTAAAGATAGTAGCTTTGTTATTAAAAAATCAACTTAACCATACTGTCGCTGCTACTATTAGTTCCTAATTCATCATGATTAAAAACCTAAATGATTAAAAAAGATAGAAAAAGAGTCTTATATGGTACTTTTGAGGAATTGCAAAACAAAATGCCAATGTATTTATGTTATTTAAAGCTAAAAAATAAAGTGAAGCCTAATAGGCTGTTGAATATTGTTATTGAATAGCAAACCAGTATTTTCAATGTAGTCTCACTTAAAATGCCTAAAATTATAGCTGAATGGTCATCAAATAAGATATTTTAAGATAACAAAATTAGTGAAGTTGTCATTTACAGTTATTTTAAGCATAAAAAGAAAGAACTGCGCAACTTTTTTCTGAAAAAGCATTAAGAATGCTATAAAGTTAAAATAGTTACCTGCTTAAATGTTGCATGCATTAAATCTAAGAGTATAAAAATTATATAGTGCCTATTTGAGATCAGTTGTTTTACTTTTTGATTGGTTTAATCCTGAAATAGAATATTGTAGTTGTCCTGTTCTAGTAAGTTGTGTATTTTCGCTTACTTTCACTTTTGTGTTTTTTAAAACACAATGATAAAATACTTAATGCAATGAAAAATATAAAAGAAAAGATTTAGGCTCTATCTTGCACAGAACAAAAACAAAGTGTAAAAAGTATAACCATTTTTTAAAATTGAAAGTTCTAAAAAAATAAAAAAAAGAGATGACATAATTGCTATATCAGCTGATCCAGAACTAAACTATTGTTAAAAAGATGTATCATTATTTGTTTAAAAATTAAAATAACATTTTAAAAAAATGGCTGTTTAGCTGTAACGTTTTTATTTTGTACTAATAAAATTGAAGTTTGAATGCAAATCATCTGCCTGTCAACATTTACATTATAAATAGTCATTTAATATGAACGCAGCATGTCTCGAGACTTGGTAGTCCCTTTAAGTTGTTGTCAATTATTTTCTATTTTTTTAGTACTTTTACAAAATGTGATTTATATTATACAAAACTCAATCATATTATCAGCTGCACGCTTTCACGTGCGATTTCATGTCTTTATATGACCACGCAAAAAAAAAATGTTTTAACGATTTGACCACGGCATATTTTTAAAATTTAAAAACGCGCTACAAAAACTTACCTAAACTTATCTGAAAAAAAAATTTAAAAAAATAAATAAATCTTAACGAAAGAGAAAATTAAAAAAAAATACTTAGTTATAGCAAAAACACAAAAAAAATAAATATATATACATAACGCATCTAAAACAAAACTGATCAAGCTAAAATGCTTAGTCTATTTTATTTACGCATTAAAAAATCTTTTCAATCTTTGATTCAACATTTTTATATATTTTTTATTTTTTAATATGTTCAAAAGTTAAATATTTCTCATAAAAAATACATAGTTATATAAATAAAATAAAAAAATATTTTATAAATACTTTTTTTTTTAATTAATTATAAGTGTTTTTTTTTTTTACTTCATTAAAAGCGTTTCGATAATATAAAAGCATTTAAGATCAAACTTATTAAATTGTTACGGTTTTCTAAAACTTTTTTTTAACGAAATTTTGTTTATCTTTTTAAATGCATTAACTTTAATCATTCTTATATTTAAATTCGTTAATGAAACTTTCGTAGTCGAAGAATGTCATCGTTTATAAAAACATAACAATTTTTTATTTTTTAATAAGATTAATTTTAGAAATTAACACAAACAATTTATATGTTTTAAATTAAAAAAATATATACAACTGTCAATTATATTTAAAAAACAAATCTTTTTTTCAGTAAATTGTTACTTTATTTAAAATCGTTTCGCTAATATAAAAACATTTGTTAAGAAGTTTTGATGTAATTAATTTCACTTTTGTAGAATAATTTTTATTTAGCGCGTTTCTAAAATGTTTTTTAAATAAGCCGCGGTCAAACTGTCATAGCAAAATGTAACTTGCGTGGTCATATAAAGACGTGAAATCGCACATCTTCCTGTGATAGCCTGCAACTGTCAATGTTTGGTTTTCTAAAGGTCTAGTAAACATGGGCTTGCTGTTGTCCTCTAAATGATACCACTAATATCATCCCATGACTGGATAAAAGTACCAATTCATCTGTCATCTGAAAATCTTATTTATGGTGGCATAGATTCAAAAGCCTCTCTGAGTTTTATAATAAGCATAGATTCAAAAGCCTCTCTGAGTTTATAATGAGCAGATCATCCATCAGAAAATTAATAAATTCTATTGATACTAAATATTTTTTAATGTACTTTACAATTTTCTTTTAAAATTCAAACAAAACAATAATCATGAATCATGATAAATGATCATTGTCTTCATTTTCATTAAATTGTTTTGTTTTGACATTGTCAAAACAGAACAACTTTAGCTGAATATTTGGTTAAGGGATTTTCCTTAAAGATATATCAACTGTATGTAATGTACATTGTTGTTTATTCCAATGATAACTTTGTATTTTGTTTTGTATTAAAAACTGAGAGTTCTCTGCAAAATCTGCCAGTTTAATACATTCTTGTAACCTAAAAGTACCTCCTTCAAGAATAAAGCGGAATTTTTCTTGCAAATAGTTCTGCTTTATTCTTGGGAGAGGTAATAGGACCAATGTAAGAGAGGTAAAATGTTAGTTACTGTTTATGACTAGTAGATTTTACAAAAGTCTCTAAAACCTAACTTCTGAGATTTAAGATTTAGTAATTTGAAAATAGAGCATTAGAAAATTATATTTTTGCATCGCTTGCAATGATAAAATAACATTTGTTCTCAAGAGAGTTTTTAGTGTGGAAAAGATGAAAGAAAGAAATGCAAATAAAAATAGAAGCTATATAGAAGGTGAAAATAATTATAAGAGGCTTGATTTAATACTGATAAAAAGAAATGAATGTTTCCATCCTTGCCTGTATCCAGGAGATTGCATAGGAGGTTTAATTGTTAGCAGATATCTTGTATCTTAGTTCAATTATGTTTAATAAATTAATAAATTTAGGGTTAGACACTGTATATTAGGTTCATAGAGATAGCTTATAAGATTCATAGAGATAGCTTTTATAAAATTATTTTTCACATATAATCTGTTGACAAAAAAGTTCCAAATTACATTGAATTACGTTGACGTTTGGAGAAACGTAAGATAAGACAATTAGCAAGTTCGTTATCTAAAATAATAAAAAACTTCAGAAAACTATAAATAACTAAAATACCTCTAAACAATATAATACCTTTCTGTAAAAATTATATTTTTACAATGTTAATTGTATAAATTCAGACAATTCAGTGAAATTAAAGCTAATATACTCAATGGAAAAGTAAAAACACTTTCCAAATAGTGCCTGTTAAAATAAATTTGGAAAGTGTTGATGGTAACTTAATAAAACTAATAAATGCATAGTAAATTATCAAAGTTACATCCAATAGCTCAACTTGCGTCACTGGGGGATAAGCATGCATTAGAGCATTTTGATATACTAAAAGTTATTATACTTGTCCTATCAGAATGCCAAACATAAATTTTTCTGATGTTGAAAAAATTAACAAAACAATTAAAATATTTTTGGAAATTGAAAATATGCATCTATCATTGGAAACAAAATTTATAAGTATTGAATATAAAATGGCTTTTTATCAAGCACAAATTTTAATAAAATATTTGGTATAGAACTATTTTATAATAAAATACTTGGTATAGAACATTACTTGAAAAAAGAATCCATAATTGTTAAATTATTGAAGATATCACAGTATTCTTTTGTGGGATCCAAAAGAAAATCATGAGCCACTGAGTTGGCTCATAATTTTCTTTTGGAAAATCATGAGCCAACTCAAAGTTGTCTTTTTCATTAATTTTAACTCCTATGAAGCACTTTAAGACCTTTGTTGCAAACAAAGTTATCAAAATTGAATCCTATTCAAATCAAAAATAATAGTATTGCATATATACAGTGAAAAACCCTATAGATTTGTCATCTAGAGGAGTAAAAGTGAGTAGTTTACTAATGACTTGTGGTGGAGCAGATCTGATTTTATCTAAAATTAAACTCAAAAAAATTGAAAAACTAAAACCGTAAGTAAGAAATTGTTATACTTTGAATTATATTTAGGTTATATTTTGAAATCTAAAGAAAATATTAAAAAATATTATTATCAATATAACATTTTAACCCACAGACAGTCCTACATTTTGGAGGAATTCACTAAATTATGATGAAAGTCACAAACCAAGCAATTTATTCATAGCTGGGAATTTATTATTGACAAAGAATCTGTCACATCATGGTAACCTATGTTTGGACCAAGGAAAAGATATCATACAGCAATAAGTAAATTATTCACACAACAAGACCACTTCAAGGTGGTCTGGTTTTGTGATTAGCTGCTTGGTCCAGTCACTTCCAGGTTTTCTTTTTGTACAAAGCTAAAAGATGGCTTTGTAAGAATAGCTAATGGTCAATCAAGCAAGATATCTTAAAATGTAGGATAACTAAAGATGTTAACCATTTTATTAAAAGAGAGGATATTGGCAAGTAAGTTAAAGTTAAAACTGATTTTTTAATAATCTGACTGACATTTTAACAAAAACTGACATTTTAATCATTAAGTATCTCTAAGTGTCATATAGTGGGGACTGAACTTGAAACCCCTTGCTTCATAAGCAATAGGTTCTAAGTTTTATCCCCATTACCACCCTGGTAGAATGCTCAACTTGTTTCTTTGCGCCTTGTTCATCAAAGTTCGTGTTTTGGAGTTATAGAGTTGAGAGAGGGTTATAAGCACAATTAAATAACCTCCTCGTTCTTGAGGAGATGAATTAAAATATAAAAAAATTGACTTTTTGAGAAACATTTTATTTTTAGCCAAAAAATTAGTAAGTTTAATAGAAGTTGATTGTTTTGCAATATTAGTAGAATAAATTAGATTGCTAATTTTTTACAAGAAGAGTGACTTTCGCTCGACAGAATCAACTTCAAAATATCTTTAATCAAAATTTGAATTAAGGTCCTTTATTATTTAATATAAGTAAAGTATACTAATGTTTTTATACTTTTTTAATATCTTTTTTTAACTTTCAGAAAGTGAAATAAAAACAAATCAGTTTTTGAATGACATTCTTCAGACTGGGGCATTAACTTGTTTAGTTTGTATTGATAATGTAAAGAGGCTTGATGCTGTAAGTTACTTTCTTATATGTAATCAATGCTTTTTTATGTAATTATTTTTCTTTTCTGAGATTATTAGGTTTTTTTAAATGCAATTAATTTTACACAATTAAATTTTTTTCATAACTTAAAGGCAAAATGTTTGAAAATTATGTTCTGTAAATTGTATACAAAAGTCAAAGTTAAATTTTATGTATTTTTTAGATATGGAGCTGTGTTAATTGTTTTTGTATCCTTCATTTACCTTGCATACAGAAATGGGCTAAAGAAGGAACTCAACAACAACAGTTAGGTTTTAAAGAAAATTTTGAAAAAGAAGACACCATTTGGAACTGGTAAAAAAAATTTTATCAATATAAAAGTATAGATTTTTTATTTTATGAAAGTATAGATTATTTATTTTAAGAAGGTATAGGTTATTTATTTTAAGAAAAAGAATTTTTGAGTTTTTGATTAGAATTAACAAATTGGTTTATATTGGGATGTTTTAAAAACATATAAATTATATTATTTATCTAAATTGTCTAAAGAAAGCTTAAAGAAGCATGGATTTATCAAAAAATTAAAAAATGACTCAGACATCGTAAAGCCAGACCAATATCGCTTTTGATCTGGACAGAAAAATACATAAAATAAATGCTAAGTTTAAGTTACAAAAATAGATTTTAAGGAAATTAAAGAATAAAGGTTTTTTATTGATGCAATCTACAATAAACTATATCTTTTCTGGTTTACAACTTTTTCATATAGATGGTCATCCAAAATAAGTTTTGTCCTGAAAACCTTAGGCTTTAGATCAATCATTTTACATTTGGCTCCTACATTTATCAATTACACTCTGAAAAAAAGGTAATTTAATGTCTTCTTATTAATAATTCTTTTTGTACAAATGATTCATTTATTTTTGTTAAGATGGGAATCAAGCTAACTATCCTAAAAAAACTTTCTTATGATATCACAAGCTTATACACCAATATATCTCATATAGAAACCATCAATGTTGTTCATTCTATTTTAAGCAGTAATATCAATCTTAAATTTAACAAAACTGATTCAAATAAACTCTTCATCTTTGCTACATTCAAACACATTTTCACGTTAATAGTTGGATTTTCGACCAAACAAATATTTGATAATTACCTTTTCGGACAATAATATACATAAAGTAAATAGCTTCTTTTCTGCCTTCAAATTTCATTTTATGTGCCTCCATGTTTCATGTTATGTGCCTCCATGTTTCATGTTATGTGCCTCCATATTTCATAAGGAAATTAAGACCTTTATACCTCTTTGTAGTTTCATCTCGTTTACACAAAAGATTTAATTAAATGCTTATTTGATAGAACTTCTAAAATTAGTAACACTAAACATTAGTGATTTTTTTAAAATTTTCAAAAAAAAAATCTGAAATATCTAAAAGTATATCTGTTTTGGCTTATAAATAAAATCTACAGTTCTTATTTATATAAAAAAAAGTAAATATATAAATTCTACTAATCAATATGAATCAAAAATCAACTAGTCATGAAAAATTATTTTAGATTTCCTTATATTGGTAAAATAATTGTTCTAACCAAAAAAATTAGGTAGTATCATTAAAAGACATTGTAAATCCACATCTATTAATTTAGTACTCACCTTTTTCAAAACCTATATAAATATGTTTTCCTAAAAACATCCTGTTCCTCATTTATTATTTACAAATTTTTATGTGCACTGTTTAAAAAAAAAACAACTCTCTTAAAAAAAAAAAAATTTTTTCATTGAAAGAAATTAATGCAAAAGGTATTATCTAATCTTAAGGTCAGATTACTAAATCTTTACTCCTACTTAATGTCCTGGATTCAGGCAGGCATGGAAGTTTTTATTTCTTATTAGTTTTAAGTTTTACTTTGCCCTATGTCTTTTTTCTTCATGCAGGTACTATTTCTAGTGGTAATTATTTCTAGTGGTAATTATTTCTAATGGTAATTATTTCTAGTGGTAATTATTTCTAGTGGTAATTATTTCTAGTGGTAATTATTTCTTTTATCTTTTTTAAAAAAATCATTCTTGAGAATAAACATTTTTTTATCATTTAAAGAAATTAATGCAAAAAACTATCTGACACAATTTAGTAATCTGACCCTAGGGCCAGATAGTTAAATCTTGTCAGATAATCTTAACTGATATAAAAGTTTTTATGGTGCATGAGATAAAAGCTGTAAGACATATCAGTAAGACATATTATCGTTCTTGACATATTAAAGGCTTTTAATAAAGTATGGCATACTACAGTGTTGTACCCAGCAATAGTTTGGGCAGTACCGGTTAAAAAAAAAATGAAAAAAAAGAAAGGCTCTTTAAAATAAATATTGGTAAACTCCCTATTAGTAAACTCTGCCCCTTCCAGTAAATTTAAATTCAAGCCTAGTTATGAAGCGTTATGCAGTATGCTCTTTACAACAAAACAGCGATTTCACCTATATGATTAGCAATTTACCTTTAAAAATACTTGAATCATTAGGAATAATTAAATTGCTTTTTGATATTATTTAAGTTGCATTTATTTACATTAAATATTAGTTATTTAAAATTATTTCCTTTTTATTTAGTTGCAAACTAATTCATTTTACAAAAACATTTTACAAAAGTCTCAATCATTGATTGAATTAACCATAAAACATCATTGTTTTTAAATAACAAAAAACTAAATTGTGATAAAATAAACAAATTATTATGTTATGTATAAAATGTTAAGAATTTCATTAATAATTTTTGTTACAGTTATTGTTTAAAAGATCTTAATGCAGTGTAAAATATGCTAATAATGTAATTTAGTTTTTAACAATATAAAAATCATTCCTTAAATTCATGTAAATAAAATTCCATAGTTATAAAAAATATAAGCAGCGTTGAAAGTCAACACTATAAGTATCATTATAAAATGTAATGCGTTGCTAACCAAAATTGGCAGTTTTTTTTGCATGTTTATTTGATTTTATTTAATAATGTTGGACTTTATTAGTATTGAAATTTATAACTTATGGAATTTTTATTTGGGCGCATTAGTTTGGGCACCCAGACTGGTTAGAATGGAATTACGTCTGGGTAATCCCATACCATTATGATTCCATTTAAAATCTTTTTAACAAAGAAAATGATTAAAATATGGTTATTGGGATGAAGAAATAAAATTAATTTTTTTATTTTATATGATTTACACTTTTAATAAGTTTAATATTTAGTGTGCTAAATTTTAATAAAACTCCATAAATATTATTATAAAAACAATTAAAAAAAATCTATTGATAAAAAAAACAACTATTATCATTAGATTAAAATAAAACATCTGTTGCTCGATGACCGTAACACTAAGTTATCATTTAAACTTATCCTAATTAAAAAATTATTTTTAATATAATATACTAGTATTATAAAAAACTCGTTAAAAAAACGAATAAATAAAAAAAATTCAATTTAATACATCTTCAATAAGAAAAATATGGTTTCCAAAATGACAATGTTACATAATCACCATTATCTTCATTTAAATCAGTCTAAAAAGCGTCTAAAAATCATACAACATATATATATATATATATATATATATATATATATATATATATATATATATATATATATATATATATATATATACAACATATCTATATATATATATATATATATATATATATATCTATCTATCTATATATATATATATATATATATATATATATATATATATATATATATATATATATATATATATATATATATATATATATATATATATATATATATATCCGTAATGATTGATTCTAAATACCCATATCTTGGAAAATACTTGATGGATCTTAATGAAATTTAATACACTTTATGTTGAAGGCCATAAGTTTTATTGGTTAAATTTACAAAGAAAAGTACAAATATTTGTTGGTTCTGGCAATTTAAGTATGCATAAGCAGCCCTTTTTTTGAAACATTTAGTGTCAAGTCCTAATTTGTTTTGTACTTGGTGCCTTCTTTGCAAATTTTGTGAAGAAGGCATGCTGCACTGTCTTCAGTGACTGAGTCCAAGCATACTCTAACACACAAAATGCCTTTTCTTTCAAAATGAGTGGCCATTCTTAACCTGAAAAGATAGAAATCCCAAACGTATTTATATATATATATTTATATATATATACACATACATATAGATAGGCTTTAGCAGAAAGCGAGAGCTGTAGCTCTTGCCCACACTCCCCTAAAACGGATTATGGGAGCAGTTTTTGGTTACAATACCAAATAATATAACCAAATAAAAAATCTCCCCTCATAAGAAGCATAAGAACCTTATATTAGTGATTTTTTTAGAGATTTTAGCATTATTGCGTGTTTTTTCACATTACACTTCTAATCATTGATTTTCAAAATGGTTGATAGTTGCAAATGAATCAAATAAAATGAGAAAATCATACAGAATTTACCAATTTTGGCCCTTACCCTCAAATTGAGGGCCAAAAAAATAACAATATTTCCAATAATCTTGAGACGATGAATCATGTTTAATTTGGTATAAAAATTAAAATCTGGTTACACCGTCCAAGAGAGAAAATTGAGTTTGAAGTTAGATGGTCTCGCAACATTTTCTACAAAAAAATATACCGGTTGAGTAAAATGATGGCTAAGTACTTATTTATATTCTATTTAACAATATAAATGTGATTTTCATAGATTTTATATGTTCTTGTTAAAATAAAACCATTTTAGGGGTATTTGTTCAAAATATTTTTTTCCTATTTGAGGCTAAAACATACCAACTAGAAAGCAATATTTTATAATTATTTTATACTTATTTTATACAAAGTTATAAATTATTAGCACTGTCAGTTTCCATCAAAATAATACAAATAGCATCAAAACTTTTAAAACTGTATAAGGACATTGAGTATTCAAAGGACTTTAAGTAGAAAAAGCAGTGGAACAATTATCTTTTCATTTAACTGATTTATAGGGCTTCAAAATGAGGTTACTAAAGGAATCGTTTTTACTGTTTTTGAACAAAATTTTTCTTGAATCTTTCAACCTTTAATTTTTGTATCTGTAATTGTATTTTTTGCTTAATAAAGTTGTAAGGATACAAAAAAAAAAAGGGAAAACAAGTTTTCCAGTTCTGATTAAAATAAAATTTTATTGTATTGAGACTTTTTAAAATTTTTGGTATATACTTAGTATATAGATGACTTAAAGATGATCCTCCAACATTAAGTGCGAATAAAGTAAATTTTAACTTTTTTAAAAAGCTACATTACTATTAATCAAAAGTCTGTTCAAGTCAAGCTTATTTTTGAATTTTAATTATATTTCAATTATAATAATAACAATAATATTCAATTTATTTATAATAATAATATTTCAGTTAAGTTCAATTGAAAGTAAAAAGTTTAAAATTCTGCTTTATAAATATTGTGCTGAAAATATGTTTAATGTCAATTTATTTTCTCAGTATAGTTATCAAGCTCTATTTTTCTCTTCTCATTTTTTTGATCGAACTTAGAAATTCAACTTTTATGAAATGCTACTTTGATATTATGAAATATGTATTGCTTTAATCTAGTCTATACGTCTTCTTCTTTTAAAAGCTGATTTTCCAAAAGAAACTTTATAAAATCCACATTAGTTTTCACATCTTTTTGAGTAATTAATAACACAACAACTGGTTCAAATAGTTTATTTCTTGTTAAAAAATTAAGTGAATGATTTTCCTAAAAAAACATATGAACATCTTAATGTTTTTACTGGCTTGCCATTAGATTCCAATGACCTTGTCATTGTATTTGTTATAATCAAGATTAAGACATTTCATAAAAAACAATGCTACTCACATTTTTAGTAAACCTTTTTAGAAAAATTAAATTCTTGGGTTTCAAAAGATTTGGGTTTCATAAGATTTCAACATATTTCTCAAAGCTAAAATTTAACAGTCCAATATTTTCTTTGTTTAACACCATTATTCATACGTAACTAGCAAAAAGTAACCTGTAATACGGGTTTTGGTCGGTCAAATTACATAATTAGTTTATAGTGGCTGTTTTCCACAATTTAATGTTGCAAAACCTTAACTAATACTCTTTTAGAAAAACGCCTTCAGCTTGAAAGTTAATCCATCTGTAAAATTAACATGTAAAAGTTAATTCATCTGTAAAATTAACATAAAAAGTATGAGGAGGTAAAATAATTTACCAACTATTACTTAACATTTACAAAGTAAATACAACTATTACTTAACATATAAAGTTGCAAATTCTTAACTAACACCCTTTTAAATATCAACTATATTCTTGTAGTATTTTTTATAACATAAACCTAAGTTATTTATTAAGATTATCATGAAGTTAACTTATATTATATTATACAGGAGTTATTAACTTTTGGTATTCCCTCTCAGGTTAAATTTTTTTTTAGAAAAAAAAATGTAACAAAAATTGTAACAGATAAGTAGCATAAAAAAAGAATAAAAAAAAGTAGATATAAAAAAAAAAGAAAAAATGACTGGAAAACAATTTACCTGCTTTTGGTAACCTGTTATCGTACTTCAGTTGCTGTCATGATGCAACAGTTTTTGTCGGTGTTGTTTAATGACGTTATTTAATGTTGGCTTTCAGGAAGCTTTAGTTTAATTTAGAAGACATCACAATATATTTAAATTAAGAGCAAAATAAAATGTTTTAAGGGGCTAAACTATAAACATTTGAGATAAAAAATCAAATTGAGATATAAATTAATTGCATTTATATAGCTAAACTTAGTCTTGGCTTATAGTAAATTTTAAAAGCAGCAACTGCAATATATTATTTTTAACAATTGAATGTTGCATCATTATACTATGGTAATTGGATGAATCAATTTAACTGTATTTTAGGTTTAATTTAGTTTTCATTTTAATTAAAAAAGAAGAAAACAAATAAATATACAACAGAATATATTATCAAAAAAAAAAAAAAAAAAAAAAAAATTACAATTCAAAAAAAAATTTACAATTCAAAAAAAAAAAAAAAAAAAAAATTACAATTCACAAAAAATTACAATATAAAAAAAAAATTACAATATATATATAAAAAAAAAAAAAATAACCGAAGAAAAGGCAGCAACAAAAAAGTTATAAATATCATATATCATAACTGATAGAAGTTATTTATAACTCTTTTATTGCTGTTAGATCTTCGGTGTCTCCTAACACCCCGGTATGGATGAGCCCTCCATTTGAAGGAGGACTCATCCATACCGCCATTAGAACACCACTTATTGAAGGACCTCTCTGAGAGAGGCCCTGGGTGTTGGGAGCGATATTTTCTATACATCTCGTTTGTCAATTGATCTAAAATAACAAATAGTAGAATATAATTAAAGTTATAAATATTTGGAATTTTATTTAATCAAAATATAAAGCATAACCTCACCATTTTCAATAGTAACAGAAGAAGATGCTTCAAACATAAAAAAAAAAAATGAGTAAATTAAAAAAATTTAAACATCTAAAAAATTTTATTTTAATAAAAAGATAAGTAAAACAGGAACAGTTAAAATGTCATATTTATTAATAATTATAAAAACTTGCGATTTTATTGAATATTAATATAATCCATTACCTCACCAGTTTCATTGATGACAGCAGACGATGCTTAAACATTAAAAAAAAAAAGAGTTAATTAAAAAAGGTTAAATGTGAAAAATTTTATTTTAATAAAAATTAAAGTAAAACAGGAACAGTTAAAAGATATCATATCAATGAATTAATTCTTTCACATATTGCACATATTTCTCTATACAAAATATATAAAGTACAAAACACAGTCCTACCAGTTATGCTTCTTCCAGACACTAAAGACAAAAAAACATACCTCATAATAATCGATAGAATATTTACATATAAATAACGTTAACATAAATATATTTATAATAATTTTTTTACCTATTTCCCTCATTTCCTCCATAAAGTAAAAATAACTATAAACTAAACCAAAACTATGAACTAAAATAAACTTTATAAATCTTAATATAAATGTCTTATTTATTTAACTATACTAATCATGTAGTTCATACTTAGTTTTTGATCCAACTCTCCTAGAAGAAAAATAAAATAAAGCTAAGGTACTTAACTTTTAAAATTCCAGTTACAGTAAAAATAAACAAATTCCTAATAACAAATACCTAATAGCAAAAACACTGACTTATCTCACTCTTTAACTCTGTGTCTAAACAATAAAAGCATTTAAATGTAAAGGCGTTAAAATATCTACCGAATTTTTTAAAAATGAATTCACCTAACTAATGTAAATAATACCTTCATAAGCTCTCTCTTTATTAACTAAAGAAAATAAATCATATTTAAACTAATTTAATATAAAATGACAAAAATCTGTCTCAATAAGAATTTTAAATATCTTTTCTTAATTAAATATAATTTTAAGTAGGATGTGAATTTTTGAGCTTATTGCATAAGGTTATAAAAACCTACTGTTTTACAGTTTTTAAATTAACAACAACATTTTGAAAAGCATTTTAGTTATTTTAGTTTATAAGAAATAAAAAATCTTTTTAAACTTACTACCTCTATTTTCATTGTTGTTAACTAAACAAAAAAACAAACAGTTGATGGTAAATTTACACTTTGGTAGTAGATTAAAAAGATTAAACGAATCTTAGATCTATTTAATATACTATATTAGGAAGATTTTAAAAACCTGAAATTTTAAACCTCCTTAAAAAAAAACCCAGATATATAATAAAGAATTTTTTATTCTTTTTTAAATAGTAAAAATGCTTTCTAACTTACTTTCCCCAATAATGCTGTCGTCATCTAAAAAGAAAAGCTGAAGTTGATTCTTCCTAAATCTACTTTAATTATTTCAATAATAAAATAAATACTTAATCTTTCTCAATTGAATTAATTTACAAAAATTTAAAAATCGTTTAAACCATTTTATTATTTCAAAGTTAATTTAAATCAACAAACATAAACGAATTGCAATTTATAACATTTAATTATAACAAAATGGAACAAAACTTACTTCTTAGTAGTTCAGCGACTAAAAAATAAACATATTCAAGAACTAACTACGTAACATGATACAAATCCGTAACATAATAACACATCTAAATAAATACAAACCTTCATTTCAATGTTTTGGGACATTATTAATTCGATATAAAAAATAAAAAGAAATATGCTTAAAAACAAATTAAATAAGGGTAATAAACACGTTAAGACATAAAAAATGTAAACAATTAAAATGATTAAACAGAATACAACCTACTTCGAAGATATGATGAGATGCAATAGAACGAATTAATTCTAAATGTGCTTTTTTATAAGTCTGGAAATTATAATCTCAAAACTCCAGAACAGAAGAAAATCTTAAAAAAGCACAAAACAGTGCACAAAAAAATCTGCGCATCACTAAGCCTAACAAAACAACCGATAGTAACAAAAGTAAAAGCGCATTTAACTTTATCTGAACTTTTAACATTATCTACATACACAATCTACATAACTCCATGTAAATAAATCCTGTAAAACTTGTGTAAATGGTGATAGTGGAGGCAAAGTTACCTTACCATTATGGCAACAAAGAAAATGTTTTTCATCTGGAAATTTCTTAGCACCGCAGTGCTGACAAATTTGATTCATTTCTCTTAAAGGGATCCCAAACTCCCAACACATGTTGTGTTCATATTAAAGATAATATTAAAAAAAAAGGTTTGAACCAAATTTTTTTGATTAAAAATAAATAATGAATGCATACCGTGAAAAACAAATGTTGTTGTTTTTGCCGAAGCTCGTCTTCTCCATTTTTTTCAACTAATCGGAGTCTTCAAATTATGCGTCGCAATCTACAGACTTTGGCAATTCCTTTGAAGCGCGTTTAATTCATAAAAGTTTTAGTATTTGACGTCACGGTAGACTTTTAATAAATTAAACTCTAGAAATATTTTTATTTATTTTTAGTCGAAGTTTTTTTGATTATTTGTTTAGTTTTTTTTTTTTTTTTCTACTTTTAATATTTAAAAAGATATTAAAAACCTTAAATATTTTATGCTGGTTCGTTGCTATAAATTGTTATTGCGCCATATATTTAATGTTTATAAATTATGAATATTTATCTATGAATTATCTCTCTCTATATGAGAGATCTTTTATCTTTTATCAATTATCTCTCTCTATATGAAATCTCTCTCTATATATATCTTTCTATATGAATTATATCAAAAATTGTTTTACATTAATTACCCGTATAAAATTAGTAACAGCTTTTTTATTTGGTTAGACGATATTTCGTTTCAATTTGCTTTGCATGAAGTTCGGAAAGTCAAACCAAAAAAATTAGTTTGAATATTCACGTAAATCAATATATATTTAAAACAAATTATTTTAATGACGGGGGTTCTAAAGTTTTTTATAACAAATGTAGGTAAAAAAATAAATAACTAAATAAAAAGTTCAGTATTAAACACCATTTCTTTATTCTATTGCAACTGTAAATATTGAATTATTAACTTGAACTAAATTTACTTATTATTTAGAACGACTAAGCAATAAAAATAAAATGCCCCTAAAATTATTTGAGATTGTGTTGTTTATTTGATAATTGTTGTTGGCAATGTTGTTTATGTTGATTATTTTCATAAATATCAAAATAGTTCCAGATTAACCGGTTCGTTGCTTTGCTCATTGTTGATTTATTTCTAATTTAATTTTATCTCAAACTATAATTATATGTTAAAAAAGAAAAGTTTTTATTTCATCGGGCGCTCTTTTTATAAAAGAGTAGAACAAAAGAGAAAGAAAAGCAATTAAACTTTGAATGAGTAAGAGTTGTATAGAATATATATATTTTTTTGCTTCACTCATTCTTTTTTTAGATGAGAGAAATAAAAGTTTAATAACAAATTTTCTTTGAATAAGTGAGAATTGGAAGAGAAAATTGCTTGAAAATTTGTATTTGTTAATTGTGTTTTTAAAAATTTTTTAATTTTTCATGTTAAAAGATAAATACCAATTACGACACAAATTTGGAAATACCAAATATAATATGTTTTTTAATTCGCGTTATGACATTTTAACAATCTAAATTACCATCTATCTTGAATTATTGCCTTTAATTAATGTGTTAATTATTGCGTTATTTAATAATAATTTGTCCGTATTTTTGTTAAATATTAGTTGTATAAAACGGGCGAAAATATACAAACTTTATGTTTTTTATTTGATGGTTATAAAATATTGAACAGTAAACTTATAATCAAAATTTCTAATGCCGACTTGTGTTGCAATTAATTGTACTTTTAATGCAAAATCAGGATCTCACAAATCCTTTCACGAGTTTTCATATCTGATACTACTGTCAACTGTATTGTTTAGTGTATTCTTGCACTTTTTTTTCATAATCTCAACAGGTTCTAATTGGTATAGAGTTGCTGACACTTTGAAAATTTCATTATCAAAAATCAAATGTAAAATAAAATGGTATTTCCTTTTTATCCGTATCCAATTCAGCAAATTTAGCAATTTAAATTAAATCAGCGTGATCAAAAAAAATTTTATAATAAAAAAAGTAAACAATTCATTAAATAGTTCTAATTAATACTGTCAGTTTATGAAAGTAATTGTTAATAAATACTTTTTTTTGACGGGAAAACAAAAAATTGTCATAGCGTAAAAATAACCAGAGAAGTTAGAAAATAGTTCCCTTTGTTTAAATAAAAATAATTAAGAATCAGAATATATAATACTGCGCTCTCTTGCGCAAAAACAAGAGACCGTATATAAAACGTTCTATATAAAGTAAAATACTCGTATGAAAATCATGAGATTGGTAAGTAAAGCATTAATATTTGTTTTAATTAAAGTAATTAAAGAAATATAAGTAAGATATATAAATCTAAAAATTATTAAGATATCTGTAAAAAATAAGTTGCTCCTATAAAATAAAAATAATTTATTGTTTTTACTTTTTACAAATTTTTTTTTGCGATGTTTGGAAAAATAATGCAAATAAATTTCTTTTGCTGTATGTTAAAAAAATACTACAGTAGAAAAACGCAGCTTAGTTTAATTACACTTTTCTTTTGTTAAAAGTCTACCGTGACGTCAAATACTAAAACTTTTATGAATTAAACGCGCTTCAAAGGAATTGCCAAAGTCTGTAGATTGCGACGCATAATTTGAAGACTCCGATTAGTTGAAAAAAATGGAGAAGACGAGCTTCGGCAAAAACAACAACATTTGTTTTTCACGGTATGCATTCATTATTTATTTTTAATCAAAAAAGTTTGGTTCAAACCTTTTTTTTTAACATTATCTTTAATATGAACACAACATGTGTTGGGAGTTTGGGATCCCTTTAAATAATTATAATCTGAAATAACGTTACTTCTTGCTATACAATGCATTCTTTCGTTTCTAGCAGCATATCTAGCATTTGGTTGATTATTAATTTCATCTCGCCTCAGCCTATTTCTTGCATTTCTGCGACGATTATTTTCAACTTGCCTATTAACATTTCCATTATTTTCTAAACTAATAGCTACTTCTAACCTTATATCATCCATTTAAACTTCACTTTTAATTGATAGTAGTAACAAAAAATCTTGAAAGAATCTTGAAGATTGTGATCTTTTTTTTTTTTTTACTACTCTAAATTGCACACACACAAAGAATAATTTTTAAAACATTACATAAAAAATTTTCATTTAAAATAAACCAAATTATACAACAATATTGTGAGTTTTTTATAAAAACATTTTTATAAATATATCCGTTAAAAGATGTTTAAACAAAAAATAAACTTATAAATATAATGTAAATAAAAAAATTAACCAATAGTAATAAAAAAAAATTAATAATAATAAAAATTTTAATGATAAAGGGTGCTGTTAATACAAAAAATAGAAGACAAAAAAAAATAATAAAAAGTAAAATATTTGTAAACCCCTTTTAGTAAACTTTAATATTATTTCTATAAAAAAATGTATAAAAAACATGCAATTAATTTAACCTTCACAAACAATGGCTGTTTAAAAGTTGTAGTTTAATTTATTTTTCTAAATTCTAAAGAAAAGAAAAAAATTTAACAGCATCACTGAAATGCCAATAATATAATAAGCAACATGACAAAGTTTATCAAAGATTAGTTATCTGTTTTCTTTTTTTTATTTTATTACTTAATCTTTTTTCCAATATTTTATATTATTTATTACACATTAAAATCAGAATATTAAAATTATTTAAGCTTTACATAAGTTAAAGGCAGCTATAAACACTAAATTATTAAATTCATAACAATCTAAGGAAATAAAATCTGCTGGAAATCAACAAATAGTTTAAAATTATAACTTAAAAATATTAGAAATTTAAATGTGATTTTTGTTTCAGTTAATAACTTGCTGCAGTACATTTTTTCAAAACTGATTAACTGATATGGTATATATTCGAAGCAATATAATAGCCATGTTATATTGTGAATCAAAAATTAAAGTAATAAAAACTATAAATAATAATCTAAACAAATACTAAAAAAAATAAAAACAAACATAATTTAGAATATATATATATTTTTAATGAAAATAAAACACCAAGGAAAAAACAGCCACAAAAAAATTGTTAATATCTTCACTGATTGAAGATATTAAAAAAATTTTTGTTGCTACTTTTTACTTGGTGCCTCCCAGCACCCCTGTATGGATGAGCCCTCCATTTGAAAGAGGGCTTATCCATACTATTAATACTGCACCATTTGTTAAAGGACCTCTCAGAAAGTGGTCCTGGGTGCTGGGAGCAATATAGTCTGTAGCTGCTCCAATTTAGATCTAAAGAAAATATAATATAATAAAATAATATAATAAAAAATAGATTTTTGCATTAAAAATAAAAAATAAAAACTCCTAATATAGAAAAATAAAAAAAAAACGTAGTAAAACCTCTTTTAGCAAACTTCAATATTATTTCTTTGAAAAAAATATTAGTGAAAATTTTTAAAAAATTCACAAAACTTAACAATATTTTGTTCTTCTATACCACATAAGTACATAATTTGATAAATAAAAAATGTAACAAATAAGTAAATAAGAAAAAAATTACATACAAAAAAAAGAAATCATTTTACCTGATAAAGCTGATGTGATTTACCAGAGTAGTAGTAGGCTTTTAGTGAATCTAAATATTAATTTTAGTGAATGATTAAATGCAGTGACGTCTAATAATGAAATTACCTATGTATCGTTTTTAACAATAGACAACAACTTGAAGGTAAACCAAATGTATATCAACTCAAAAGATTACAAAAAAACAACATCACAACAACAATAGCATTCACCATAACTTCATATAATATGCATATAACTTAACTTAAGAAACATAACATTCATATATAACAGAACATCAGTAACAACATTACGCAAAATGTTATTAAAATACATTGTGTATTTTCAGAGTAATTATTAATAAAGGCTTGAAAACACTTAGACTTAAAGCAGTAACAGTTTGACATGAAACACTGCAGTGTAATCCTCTGAAGTAAGTAAATGACTTGGCTGGCAAGATTGACAAATCTTGCTTTACACGTTTACCAAGTCACAGCACTTTGAAAACACGGAAATAACATAATATAAACATATAAACCAATTATAAACACTATATATATATATA